CCAGCGAGGGGGCGGGCGGGCGGGGGGCTGACCTGCTGCCCTGGGCCCGCCTCCCAGGCCTGCTCCCCAAGCCCTCCCTGCAGGCCCTGCCCAGCTCGCTCGTGCCCCTGGAGAAGCCGGTGACCCTGCGCTGCCAGGGGCCCCCGGGCGTGGACTTGTACCGGCTGGAGAGGCTGCGGCCCAGGAAGTACGAGGACCAGGCGGTGCTGTTCATCCCGGCCATGAGGCAGGACCTGGCCGGCCAGTACCGCTGCTCCTACCAGAACGGGAGCCGCTGGTCGGCCTCCAGCGAGCTGCTGGACCTGGTGGCCACCGGTGAGCCCCGGCCTTCAGGGAGGGGAACCGTCTCACCCCCACCCCTGCCTTTTATTTAAAAATGTGTTTTTTGTTGGTTTCAGAGAGAGGAAGGGAGAGGGAGGGAGAGGGAGGATCACCGGCTGGCTGCCTCCCGCACGCGCCCGACGGGAATCGAACCCGCGGCCCCTGGGCGCCCAGGACGGAGCCGCACCAGGGGGCAGTGGCCTCTGTCTTTGTTCCCAGGGGTTTATGAGAAGCCCTCGCTCTCCGCCCAGCCCGGCCCGGCGGTGTCCCCGGGAGGCGACGTGACTCTGCAGTGTCACAGCAAATACAGCTTCGACCAGTACGCCCTGTACAAGAAGGGGGACAGCCGGCCCTACCAGGGCCCCGAGAGGTGGTACCGGGCTCAGTTCCCCATCATCACGGTGACGGCCGCGCACAGCGGGACCTACCAGTGCTACAGCTTCTCCAGCCGGTCCCCGTACCTGTGGTCGGCCCCCAGCGACCCCCTGGAGCTCGTGGTCACAGGTGAGGGGGTGCAGAGGGCGCCTGCCTTCCTCTGCCCCCGGCCCTGATGCAAATCCGAGGGGAGGGCCCCCCAGCCTNCGAGGGGAGGGCCCCCCAGCCTCTGCTGCGCCCTCAGCCCAGCCCGGCTGCAGGGTCCCACCCGCCCGCAGGCGGCTTCCTCACGCACGCTGTGTGCCTGCAGCGGCCGGTGTGCACACGGCGCGCACGTGCGGACGGTCATGCCTGTGACCGAGTCAGGCCGTGCCCCCGAGCCTCATCGTACTGAATGCCCACTGCAACGGGAAAATAAAAACAGTGTAAAAAGAGGTGCGCAGCTCTGTTAGCACCTAGAAGGGGGGCTTCTCCCAGAGACCCGTCCCCCCCACTCGAGGGTATTTTTTCCGTTGCTTTCCCGAGAGAGTGGAAGGGGGGGAGGAACATCGGTGAGACAGTCACTGGTGCCTCCCACACGCGCCCCGGCTGGGGCCTGGGACTGAACCTGCA